GATTTCCAAAATATTTTCCAACTAGTGATACAATTGCCAGTCAGTGTAGGACTGGAGCTGGGTCCTGGAGGTCTTCTGCTCTGCAGGGGAGCAATCAACCCTGTTGCTGGAAAGATGGTTAGTCTGAGAAGTTTTGGAGTATGTGAAGCAGGAGAAGGGACCTGGGGTTTGGGACAATGACTTCTCTTCAACAAGTATAGAAATAGTTTAATATTTACTCAATTGTACCCGGCATGTTTAAAATAAATTTTTTTTCTTTTTTCTTTTTTTTTTTTTTGAGTTGAAGTCTCACTCTGTCGTCCAGACTGGAGTGCAGTGGCCGCTCCCGGCCACTGCAGCCTCGATTTGCTGGGTTCGGCGATCCTTCTGCCTTAGCCTTCCAAGTAGCTGGAATTACAGGCATGTGCTACCACGCCCGGCTGATTTTTTGATTTATTGTAGAGATGAGGTCTTGCTGCCCGGGCGGGTCTCGAACCCGCAGGCTCAGGCAATCCACTCACCTCAGCCTTCCAAAGGCGCGGGATTACAGGCTGAGCCACCGAGCTCAGCTAAATTATTATTTTTTCTTTTTAACTTTTTTTTTTTGTGAGTTGGAGTCTCACTCTGTCACCCAGATTGGAGTGCAGTGGCACACTCGTGGCCACCGCAGCCTCAACCTGCTGGACTCTGGCGATTCTTCCACCTCAGCCTTCCAAGTAGCTGGAACTACAGGCACGCGCTACCACGCGCGGCTAATTTTTGATTTATTGTAGAGATGAGGTCTCGCCAAGTTGCCCAGGCAGGTCTCGAACCCGTGGGCTCAGACAATCCATTCACCTCAGCCTCCCAAAGCATGGGATTACAGGCTGAGCCACCGAGTCTGGCTTCTTTTTAACTTTTATTGCTTTAAAGTCTGTTTTGTCTGATATAAAAACAGTTACTCCTAATAAAATACAATTTTTAAAAAGTTTAGTTGTTTAATGAACTGAGCTAAATATCAATCTGCCTTGCCAATACTCTGGTTTGAAAAGACTATTCTTTCCGACAATGAATTATGATCGAAAACTATATTTAAGGGTTTCCTTCTGGACTCTTAATTCTGCTCTATTGATATATTTGCCTATCCTTATGACAATGCTATACTGTCCTGATTACTGTAGTTTTTCAGTCATTATGAAATTGACTGCAGCTTATAAAAATGCAATCGCAGCCGGGCTCGGCCATCCTAATAAAATGGAGTCTAACCATGATTGTAAGGTAAACGAAACCAGACCAGGTGAAACGGCAACAAAAGAGCCAAGAAAAATTTATTAGCGCAGTCCTGGGCGAGGTTCACCGGTCCATGTTGCTGTGGGCCAGAGAAGCTGCACCCAGCAAGATCAGCGACGGGTTTATAAAGGGTACACTGAGAAAGCTGTGAGGGGGTTGGGGAAAGCAATCACTGGTTGGTACAGCTGTCACGTCTGCTGGCGATTGGCTGAACGGGGTTGCTAGAGTCGCTGTAACAGGTACTGGCTGGCTTTGCAGCTGGAGTCTTAGTTCTGGTCATTCATTTTAGCTGGCTCACTCTTGCCCATTGTTCTCCTGGTCTGGGTTGGAGCCATCTTGTTGAGGCCTGGCCCGCCCTCCGGTACCTCCAGCCTTACAATGATGGTCTGGAAAATCTCTCCATTTATTTGGATCTTCATTCATTTCTCTCAGCAATGTTTTGTAGTTCTCAGATTTATAAGTGTTGCACTTATTTTGGCCTAACTATGTTTTTTATGCTATTGTGGAGTTGTTTTCTCAATTTCATTTTTGATTGTTGCTAGTATATGGAAATCCAGTTGATTTTTGTATACTGACCTTTTTTCCTGGGACCTTGCTAAATTTGCTAGTTCTGTCAGGTATTGTTTCTGTGAATTCCTTATGATTTTCTGCAGAGGATCATGCCATCTGTGACAAAAGGCGGTTTTATTTCTTCCAATCTGGATGCCTTCCAATTTGATTTTTAAAATTCACTCCAGTAGTGTTGAATAGATGAGCTGGTGTCCTTGCCTCTTTCCTGATCCTAAAGGGAAAGTATGAAGTCCTACCACTAAGTATGATGTGAGCCGTAGGTTTTTCCACAGATGCTTTTTATCATAAACTTGAGAGGACAAAAATAGACTTAGGAGCTATTGAGAGACCCAAGAAACCAAGAAACTTAAAAAACAATACTTGCTGTAAAAGTAGTGTTTAGTTCACTATATTTCATATATCCCTACCTCATGTTTACTATATATTTTGTGTATTCCTACCTCATGTATTTTATGAAATCTTAGTACTTTAAATTCTACCTCAAATGAAATCTTAGTACTTTAAATCCTACCTCAGACCTCGTAGAATTAGGCATATGTCAGGTGCCGGCTAGCGACCAATTGTATAATGGCTTAAGTAGTGTTTGTATTTAGAACTCTTGAGTTAAGTATTGTCAGCCCCAATTACCAGGCTAACTTCTGCTTTTACAACGGGATGTAAATGATAAAGCAATAAGCCCCTTTCAGACATTCCTACGAGATCGAAGCAGACTTTGAGGTGCCAGCTCCTCTCTAGGTGGGCTTTATCACTGGTTTTTATCTCAGTGTTAATTTACCTGCAGTGGCTATGTAGACTTGGGAGAATCAGAGACCTTTACAAAAACCACCTTGCTATAAGATGTTCGTGATATTTTATAAATTCCCAGAATTAGTGTATGAATTTCTACCCCACATTCACTGTATGTGTTTGCAGCATTCATATTTAAAACTTTGTTAAGTTTGGCTTTTGTTGTCCCATAATGACTATGTTATGTTATGTAAATGTTAAGCAAACAAGCTTTCCTAAGCATACCTTGGGCTGGATCGGTAAACTAAAGGGCTAA